GTTGAAGTTAAGTCTATTGACGACACAAGCAACTTTGACGAATTCCCGGGTGTTGACCTCAAGCTTCGTAAGTTGAAAACAACTTGACTGTAATTCCTGATCATTAGTGTAGATGCATCTAGTTACCTTATGATGTGTGTGACTGTCTATCACTTTTTTGTTAACTTTTGAATTTTGATTTGCTTTTTATTCTTATTTTTCAGTCTTTGTTATCACAAGATGCACCAGTTTTTTTTTTTTTTTTTTTTTTTTTTTTTTTTTTTTTTTTTTTTTTCTTTTTTTTTCTTCTTTTTAGTCGTGTGTGGAAATTGTACAACGGAAAAAGAAAGGAATGTATTTGTATATGTATAAACTGATATTAACACACTGGAAAAGCTGGAAGCAACTGCAGAGGTCTTGTTAACAAATAGTTCAGTTGTTGCAGGTACATACACACCCGTGAACACTTTCATTGTCTTTCTGCCTCATAAAAATCGGTCATCCATGGATAGGATAGAAAATATCATGGGGTTATTATCTTCAGGTTAGTTTTCTTACAATGTTATAAATGTCATGTAACAGTGTTTTTCTTGTTTTGTTTTGTATCCATTATATATTCTTTGGTCAGTGTACTTGAGCGAGTTTTAAGAATTTTGTCATCATGTGACCACCATTTCTTACAAATAATTTTCTTCTGTATCAGTTATATTCTAATCAAGTTGCCTTTCATAAATCTGACTACGTTTATTGTTGTTTAAGAAAAACTTCCATTTGATTGGTTTTGATTAATTTTCATATATATTTATATGCATTTAAAATTAGATCACTATTTAAGCTAGTTTGTTATTTGTTACAGCAGGAAAAATTCTTATTGGTACTAAAATCCAGCATACTTTATCTTCCTTTCCACAAAAGTATATTTGAGATTTTGCAGATTGCGACTTACCCCTTTCTGCATATTTTTTTATGGGGAGAGATACATGAAGTAGGAATATTGGTGACACTGAATATTTGGCTGTTTGGAGTAGGGTTATGAACAATTATGTGCTAGGTTTGGGTATAAAGTCATATCGTCATGCTGCTTTTTATATTGTGATTTGTATCTTCGTGCAAGTTTTATGTTTGTAAAGATCCCTGTCAGAAGGCTTGAGGATTGATTTGTTTTTAAATGACCCGAATGACTAAAATTCATGCCTGGAACACTTGAGTTTATCATTGGTGAAGTTTACATTAACCCAATGTTGCCAGGAATATGACGTGTTCACTGCAGCATTTATTTGTGAAATATCTTTACTACACATAGATGGCTATGCAAGGGCATAGTCACTAAGGAGTCATTTAGTAGACTGGTGATCTCACCTGACTTCACCTTTCCTTGAGATATGGGGAATTTTTTTTACTATCAGTATCAATGTTGTCATTATTATTATTATTATTATTATTATTATAGACATTATGATTATTATAATGTTAACATATTGATAGCAATTTTAGATAAAAGTAAGATCAAGAAATATACAGGTGAGATGTAGTACTAATAACTGGTTCATTGGTGACATTGTACTTGTGGAATCACCTATGTGGAAAAACAAACGAAACTCTTAGTGGGCATGGCATGTATGTACATGCCACCCCAGGTAGCATTGGGTTAAAATCAACTCATTTAACTTTTATGTGAAAGCACATAATATTAGATATACAGGATATCTTTTGTACATCCCTAGGAGCTTTGATACATCGTTTCTTTACACAGGCTATATTATATTCTATAAATATGAATATATATTTTATTCATTGCCTCCCCCACCCCCACTCCATCCTACCCCTGATCGTTACATTTATGATTTTGCATTTTTTATGCTTTGATTTTCATGAGTAATGTCCTAGTTCCCCAACAGTTGGCGAGTTGATAGAGATCTAGTGATTAGTGCTCTTGAGGGAAGTTAGTTGGTGGTACATTTTAAGGTTCTCTTTACCATATGTAGTGTATGTGGAAATGGTTTAATGGGATACAATGTTTACAAATTTAGGAAGGTTATGAAGCAGTCATGTTCATGGTTAGGATTGAAATTTGAATTTTTCCAACTTTACCCTCTACAAAAGATATTAGAAAGGTAAAGCAAATGCTAAAAAGAAAAGTTCTTTTTATGAACATATTCACTGAAGGTCTTCATGGTTTATAAGTTCATGACACAAATGTATTCAGTGAAGATTCCTTCCCCCTGAGAGTTAGCTATGGGTTACAGGTAGTCTGTGTGTTCTTTTTCCTTTCTTTCTATGTTTTCTTATCTTTTGACAGGCTGACATCCAGTCAAGAGCTTGGTTGCTTTGGGTCACAATTTTTATTGTGTGAGAAATGACAATATCTTGTAGTTTCTCCTCTTTGCATTTCAAGACATGGTGCACCTTGTTGCGTAGAGAGAAGAGAGAGAGAGAGCATCTTCGTGCACACACAAAAAAAAGCAACAAAAAATCTTAGTTAAAAGTCAAATGAACATTTTAGGATTTGGTGAACCTGTGATGGTGGTCTGTTCATTGTTACAGGTTCTGTCCCCAGACTTCTTGATCCCTGCCCCATCCTTGCCTTAATCTAGATCTAGGCCTCTGCCTTTTAGTGTGCCTTGCCTAGGGCCATATTTTTTACTTGTGTTCAAGAATGCTATTTTAGTTTCAGGGGCTTCACTAAGTCTGGAACTAGGAAGCCAACATCACAAATGTAAGCGGACATCGGCATACTTTATTTTTTCTGTTTTTTATTTCTTTTCTTTCCGCTTCTCTTTTTCTTC